TTTCTTTGGTCGTTGCCACACCTTTGCAGAGGTCACTTGTCAAAGTGCTGCTGCAAAGTGTTGTATTTTAGTTTTGAATTTCTGTGCCTTTGAAGCTCACATTTTCCATTAGAGAGGAGAAAAAAAATAGCAGCCTCCATCCTGCTGCGTACTGCATAAATCATCACGGAATTATGGAAAGGTTTGGGTTGGAAGGGACCTTAAAAATCACATCCTTCCATGGGCAGGGCCATCTTCCACTGTCCCAGGTTGATCCAAGCCCCATCCAAGCTGGCCTTGGACACTTCCAGGGGTGGGGCATCCACAAATTCTCTACATAACCTGTGCCAGAGCCTCACTATCCTCACAAGGAGGAATTTCTTCTCAATATCCTGTCTAGCTCTGCCCTTCTTCAGTTTAAAACCCATGTCCTGTCACTCCAGAACTTGTGCAAAGTCTCTCTCCTGCTCTTAGAACCCCTTGAGCACTGGAAGGTCTCTCCTTAGAGCTGACCATCAGGACAAACTGTGCTCTCTTTTCCTCCAAAATCCAGCATCTGTCCATTCTTGCCCAATTTAGAAGTTCAAAGTGCAACCTCCTCAGGAGCCGATAAATGTGTCTTTTCAAATAAACAAACATCTGTGAAGCAGCTGGATGGTGGGGACTTTATTCAGGAGTGTGGTCTTGGGACTTTATCTGCTAAGTTACCACATCTCCTTTGGCCATTGTGGTGGCTGGTGGCCTCTTCAGCCTTTTTACTTTCTAATATTCAGTGTTATTACTTTCTAATGTGCCAAATGTGCCAAATATCTTTCTTTTTTTTTTTTTTTTTTTTTTTTTTTTTTTGACACAGGAGAAGAGCAAGGCCCCCATCACTGCCCTGGGACTTTTTCTGGAAAACGACTGAAAATAGATTTCAGTGAACAAGCACCTGGAGACGTCTTCCTTAGGGATCCCTTGAGGACTCTGACTTCTTCCTGCCACGAGTGGTTTGGGGAAACTGTGAAGGGAGAAAAACAACAACAATCTTCTTTATCTCTCTGTTTAGATCTTGTCCCAACAGGAGCTCAGGAAGAGATATTCACCACAGGCCCTGATTCATCTTGGACATAGGAGTGTAGTGAGCTCAAGAACTCCTTGAGTCACAAAAGAGAGAGACTGGAGAGAAAAACCTCCTGTGCTGGTCCTAAATCTCACTGGAATGTTGTCTTGCTCCACATGGGCCCTTTCCTATGTGGGCAGCTGTAGTGAAGGGGTGATTTAGCTCACCAAGAGGATCACTGTAATATCACCAAAAGTGGGGTTACTGTGATGTTGTAAAAGCAAGGTTCACTGTTATTTAATATATGGAAGAAATGTACAAAGGAAAATTGAGTTGGAATCAAACTGGGAGGATTTAGAGATGTGGGACATGAAAGGGTAAAGGAGACCTTCCCACTGAGCCACAAATTCAGAGTAGCCCCCCCCCCCTTGCTGTCTGAACTCCTGATAGAGCCAAGGTGGAGTTAGGTCCAATCTTAGTCTCAGCTTTGGGAGATGGTTTATGTCTAATGGAATTATCCACACAGTTTATAATAATTAATTATTGTGCACTGAGCTGAGCTCCTGCTCAGAGTCTGTCTGGTCATGCAGGAGGTGCCAGGGAAATCCAGGTGAGGTTGAATCTTCCAGTACCTGACAACAAAAAAAAAATGGAGAGGTGCTTCTTGCCAGGGCACTGAGGGATTGGACAAGGGGAATGGCTTTAAGCTGAAGCAGGGTAGATTTAGAATTAGATTAAATATTGGGAAGAAATTCCTCCCTGTGAGGGTGGAGAGGCCCTGGCACAGGTTGCCCAGAGGAGCTGTGGCTGTCCCATTCCTGGAAGTGTCCAAAGCAAGGTTGGACAGGGCTTGGAGCAACCTGGGATAGTGGAAGGGGTCCCTGCCCATGGCAGGGGGTTGGTATGAGATGATCTCAATGTCCCTTCCAACTCAAACCATTCTGGAATTGTATGATTGGCTTTGCAGTGATGTGGGCAGGGTGGCATCAGAATTACCACAGCTGGAAACTTTAACCCCACAGCCCTGTCCTGCACCAAAAATGTTGCCAGATCTGTGTTAAATCTCCACCCTTCACATCCTACGATATTGGGAAGGAGACATCAGGCTGTGGGTTTGAGAAACCTAAATAAGAACAAGCTGCACTGCACAGAAAAGGGGATTCCTCATGTCCTGCAAATGTACTTTATAGGCACATGAATTTTTAGAGATGTGGAGAGGATACAAAGCTGAAATTTGGGTAAACTCAGCTCAGTGTTGTGACTTTTCCAGAGCAGAGAGCCCAGGTGGAAGCTGTGGGGCCAGGAGAGATTTCCCAGCTCCCAAGAGCGATGCAAAGTACACATGGGGTGCAGGCAGGGGCACTTTTTAAAAAGCAGACAGGCCTGAAGTTTCCACCTCTTTTATTAGAAATAAGACACATTCATTTTGTGCTCTGAAAACTGTACAGGGAAAAAAAAAAAAAAAAAAAAAAAAGGTGTTGAAGAACACGGAGAGGAAGGAGGGGAAGGCATGGAAGGAGGGCAGGACATGGGAAAACAGGATTAACCGGAGGAGCTGAGCAGAAAAAGTCGAATATCAACAGTTCTTAAACAAACATTTATCTCTGTAATTACATAACATCGTTAATGTCCTGCAAAGGCAGCTGCAGTGAATGGGTGAAGGTTGGAGTGAAGAGGGTGGGCAGGGGAAGGGAAGGAAAAAACAAAAAGAGAGAGAAATGAATTAAAACACAGTAGAAAGATACCTGTATGCTAAAATTCATAATGTGTAATTATAGTAATTACAATATCATACAACCCAGCATCTGAGGGAGGCCTTTGTGCTTTCCTGTTTCATGAATAAGCTAAAATTAAACAGTAATATCACAGTTTTATGAGTAACCACTTTCCTTATTTTTTAACTATTTGGGTTTTATTTAAGTTTTCCTTTCCATCCTTCATATCCTATGGTCAATGGCAAGGTAAATGCCACTGGAGGTCTCCCAGGTGGCCCAAAGGGAAGTCAAAGCTGAGATCTGGTACATCAAGCAGCACCTTCCCATGGGGGAAGCACAGCTGGGGGCAGTGATTGCTTTGCATCTTGTACCCCATGGGTCATTTTTCCCTAAAAATGTGAGGTTTGTTATTTTCTAATTAAAAGGAGACTCGAGGACAGTAATAATTCAGACCCTGTTCAAGTTCTGCTGCTGTCTGGCACAATCTGGCCACTCACAACCAGAGTTTTGTCTCCATCCACCTCCAAAACTGGGAGAGTAAGTCCAAACATCAGACAGAAAGTGCTGGGAATGACGAAAATAGTAATAAAAAAAAATAAAGTCTGTGTGTAATGTCACTGGTATATTTTTTAATGATAAAAATATTGCACAACGCTTTTTGGGATGAAATGTAGACACCTCATTTTTTTATTTTTTTTTTTTGGCAAATAACCTTGAGAAATGTTTAAAGAAAAAAATTAAAATAGTTATTTTTTTTTAATAGTGAAATGAAAAGACTGCATTTTATGAGGAGGAATGTCCTGCTCTCCTGATCAGCTTCACCTCTTCCTTCCTGCAGGACCATGAACCTGCTGCTGGCTCTGGGCAACGGGGAGGGCGGAGAAGGGCCAGCGAGGGGAAAATAACCAAAACCCAAACTGAATAAAGCAAAACAAAGCATTGCAAGCCAGCGGTGAAGGGACTGTGTATTCCCACCCTCCCAAATTTTCCATGGAGCAACTTGCCTTCCACCTTCAGCAGGTGGCATCCTCACCCCATGCCTGCACAGTCCTACGGCACAGAAAACAATTTGAAACGACAAGAGCCAAAGAAAAGAAAGGTCTCGGGTTTCAAGTTCTCTTTTTATTGAAGAAAAGAAAAGAAGAAGGAAAAAAATAGATTATTTTGTTTGTTTTTTTTTTTTTTGTCTGTTTGTTTCCAAGTGGACGTTATTCATGTTGTCAGTTTGTCTCAATGTCCTAAGGCAACGTCTCTGTTTACCAATATCTCCAGGTACAGTGGCAGATCTGTCTTTCCCTTTTTCTCTCTCTGCCTTCCAGGGAGGGGCAGCTTGGAATAAATCTGAGTCCGAAAGCAAGGACAAATAACAGAACAAAAGAAAAAAAAATAAAATAAAAGGATGAGGCCAAGAGGACCTTCGCAAGGCCCGTGCTGAGTTTATCTATTTAACAGTCAATGACATGACCTACATTCTTCTTGTTGGTCTTGTTGTCTACCACCTTCCACCCTCTCCCTGGAGATGGGGCGAGCAGGATTCGGAGATTTGGAGCTGGTCCTTTCCTCCGCCGGGGAGGGATGAGAGGAGGAAGCCCCACCTCTCCTGTCCACCCGTCGAGCCACGGGTGACGCCACCACGTCCCCCGTCCGCGGGGACCCACTGCAACCGTGCGCCAATGCCAGGTCGTGGCGCGGCACCCGGGGGTGGCAATGTCCTTGTGGCCACTTCTTGGCGCGTCCCATCTCCTTCCTTCTTGGATGAGCTGGCGGGGGAGCGAGGGATGAGGCTGGGTCTGCCCCAGCCAGGCCACATCCCAGCGAGGCTCCCGCAGGTGTCCCCTCTTGCTGTCCCCAGACAAGCCCGATCTTCCGGGCCCTCTGTGGTGGCTGCTGGGCGTCCTTCCGCACCTCCCCGTGGCAGAGCAGGAGGGCTCCTGGTGTGCGGCAGTGACCCGAGAGCATCTTGGCAGGGACTGTCCCCTGCAGCCCCTCCCCACCCTCTTCCTCCTCCTCCTCCTCCTCCTCCTCCTCCTCCTCGCTCTCTTCCAGGCTCACTCCTCCAGTCCTGCCTGGGAAAGCTCGTGTTGTCCTGAACCTACAGCTACTATACTCTATAAAGTAATATTCCCCCTCTCTGCTGAGAACAATACAAAAGTTACTCCATCTTACCAAAGGTTTCAAAAGAAACCAAACACTTCTCTTGCTCGGTTCCGATTTAATTTAATCATTTCTTTAAAACGTGGTTTTGTTTTTGTTTTTGTTTTTTTGTTTCATTTGTTTTCCGGAAAAAAAAAAAGTCTTTTTTTTCTTCCCTTTCTGCTCAGACCTCTGTCTGAAGGTCAATAATGTCTTGTCCCACCAAGGGGATGGTGGCCCCTGTTTTCTCCCACTCTACAGTTTTTAGTTCTAGGGGAGACTGTGCCACAGGTTCGATGTCCTTTTTAACCCATGATGGCGGGGACTGGACTTTCCTGATGCCTTCCCAGGGTCTCTTGTTTGGTGTCTGCTGTTTTTCTTGCTGCAGGAGGATGAAAGTGTAAGAAAGGAGAGAGAGAAAGAAAGAAAAGTTAGTGCAAAATGCAAGACATTCCGTTATTTTACCTCCTCTTGTATCAACAAATAATTTTTTCTGTGAAGCTTCTCACTCAAAATAAAGTGAGGTATCAATAAAAATGACACTTGGTGTACAAACTGTATTTTCAAGAAGGAAACGTTATTCTTTCCACTGCCACCTCCATCACTTAATGACTGGATATTTAAGCTTTCAGGGGAGTTTTATGGTACTGAAAATCTGAGTGTGGTTTTGAGAATATCAGATCTTTTTCTACTTCCACGGATGTAGTGACAGGACAGGGGGTGATGGCTTTAAGATGAAGGAGGGTAGATTTAGATGGAATATTGGGAAGAAATTCTTCCCTGTGAGGATGCTGAAGCCCTGGAATGGAATTCCCAGAGAAGATGTGGCTGCCCCATCCCTGGAAGTGTCCAAGGCCAGGTTGGATGGAGCACCCTGGGATAGTGGAAGGTGTCCCTGCCCGTGGCAGGAGGTGCAACTATAGGATCTTTAACGTCTCTTCCAACCCAGCCCACATATGAAATCCAGATTACAATGAGGTCTTTCTGAACGCCCACTGCATTTGATGCACGTTCCTTATGCAGCACAGCTATTTATAGACCTTTAATTGCAGCAAAACTTGCTCCCTGTTCTGCCAGGGAACCAAATCCGTGCTGCTTGAGGAGCTGGAGCTCATCTCAGAGGCTGAAAACACTTCCATCAACTCCACACCAAGCCCTGGAGGCTTTACTGACCCAGTCTCCCACCAGCACCCCACCAGGGATATTGATCCAGAAAATCTCCTCCCACGTTTTTCCTGACACACACCGAGACAAGGCTCTGGGGAGAGCTTAGGGGCTGGAAAACGGGTGTGTTCCTCAGTGGGCAGAGAAAGGAAAGGCTTTAAATGAGTTTGTCCCCTCAACCTCTCCCCTCCAAACACCAGTGATGCTTTTCACAGTTGATTATCTCCACAAAAACACTCCAGCACTGGGCAAGAAAAGGCTTCCCTGGACGTGACAGAGCCCTTTTGAGCCTCCTGCCAAAGGAAAAGTGGGAAGGGAGGGAGGAAAGAGGCTTGTGGAGGATGACAAGGAGGGAAAAGCCTGGAGAGAAGGTGAGGAGGGACACGACACCCAGGAGTTGTCACAGCTCGATGCTGTCACCAAAATGTGTTGACTTGTGGGAAGTGAAGCCACACAGAGGCTGTGGGGACTCCAGGATGCTGCTGAGATCATCACAGCTCCGTAGGAAACCTCGATCCCCATCTGCTGCAGGCTCATCCAGCAGCCCCAGCTCCTCAGTTTGTCCTTCCCCAAGACTTTTTTGTCAGGCTGCTGTTTGTCCCAGCTGCAGCGCTGACAGGAAAGCTGCTGTGGAATTATCCCTGCAGGGCAGCTGGATCACCCAAGCCAGGAATTCTGCTCATCCAAGCTTTAGTATAAAAATAAGATGTGCTTGAAGTTTGCCCTGTACGTCACAACTCCCAGGAGGAAGCTCTGGGTGAGAGCTGAGAGGGTGGGAAATGTACAAACCAAGTAAACATCTGAAAGTGAAGTGAAAACACTGAAATCATTTTCATTCAAAGGGAGAAAAATAAGTTTTTAAGTCCTTTTAAAGAGAATTGTTGTTTGGGTGTTTTTTTAATATCAGGTTGTGTAAAAGTATTGCTCAAAAAAATGTAAAACACTCAGTTCTCAATTTCTTGAAATCTGCAGCTGAGATTTTCATTAAACTCTATATTACAGAGCTGTCCTTATGCTGCTGGTGCTATTCTTACTTTATTCTGTGATATAACACGACAGTGATTAATACTAATATGACAGAAAAAAAGATAAAATTTGTGATTTATTCCATTATCTTTTTTTGCAACTTATTTTAGAACCGCTGCAACTAAAAAGTGGAACCTATGTAACTCTTGCATGTGTCTTAATGAGACAAGCTGGGAGTTTCCTGAAGGGAAATTCCCACCTACAGTGTTTTTTGGAGACCATCAGTCTGCCTGAAAAGATACATCAGGAAGGAACACAGAGAAAAAAAAGCACAAATAGAGCAAAAATTGGAATAAAATTAAGTTTCCCAAAAGGTGAAGAAAAACAACCTTGGTCAAGACAGATATTTTTTCAAAGAAAAACATTTTGTTTTCTCCCCCCACTGCTGTAACGCCACAAGTTTTCAAAGCTGCTGATGTCCACAGCTGCATCAGCAGGCAGCACAAGTGATCTTATGCATGAAGTTCATAAATAATTCGTTTTTTCCCCTCAAACAAGAGCACTTTTTGGATGGCATTATTTATGGCCACCTTCAGCATCAGGTTTGCAGCCAACCCCTGTTTTCACAGTCTGTCTCCAGCTGCCACACTCCCGACCTTCAGCCTCTCCTTCATGCTGGGAGGATGCTCCCAGATCTGACCATGCTCTCTGAACGTGATCAGCAAACCTCAGAGCCCTCCCTGTCACGGGCTGGTGAGCAAGAGGAGCTGCAAATCCAGGGAGGGAACAGAAACTGAGGGGAAAAAAAAACCCAAACACACCTCTAGCAGTGGCCTCTGATCAGCCCTGCCACTGGGGAACACCACCTAAGGGTGACAATAATTATTCAAACCCCAGACATTAAATGTTGTGAGCTGTTGAGAAGAGAAAAATTAAGAAAGGAAGAGAGAATGAAACAGGAAATATTGTTATGGAAGTGCACAGCTCCATTCTGCACCTGCATCTTGGATATTCTGGGCACTCTGTGGGCTTCCTGAGAGAAGGATAAAGGGAAAATGATAAATGTGGCCTGTTTCCAGCCATGGATGAAATCATAGAGAATTCCTGTGGGAGGAAAGATTACAAACTCCCGCCTTAAGGCCTTAAAAGAGATTATGGTTGGATGTAAAAGAAATCTGTGATGCTCTGAGAGGCTTGTGGATGATAGGAATGGACCACTGATGGTGAGGACTGGGATAATCTCTTCCAGCAAAGGAACTCCAGAGCACCAAGGAGTGAACCCTGGCAGCTGGCAGCTGCCCACAGTGCCCAGTGAACCTCCAGGCCACCTATCCACAGCTCTCTGTCCATCTTGAAAACTTCCAGGCTCATGAAAAATACATGGAAACACAAAAACAGCATCCATTCGGCGCTATCCAGTGAAGCAACACCACTCTGCATCAAGGGGTCTCTGAGCACAAATTCCTGGAGTTTTGGGGATCTTTTTTAAGATGCACCACCACAGGCTGGCCCTTTTATTTTTCCAAGACCCTTTTTACTCTGCCATGGAGAAGAGGCAGAAACTGCCCTTGGGTCTGACCCCACTTGGTGATTTCCATCCTCCTTATCAGTGTGGTGTTCACCTGTGACTGTGGTGGGCTTAGTGACTCCAAAGGTGTTTATTCACAGTTAGAAAGATGAAAAGGAACCCTGGAAAATGAGGAAATGGAGAAGGGAGACTTGCTCTTAGTTCTCCATTTCTCAGGGAAGGATCAGACTTCTCTGGTGATGCTGTGAGGGAAGTGCTGGCTCAGGGGTGGCTGCAGGAGGAGCCGCTGCCCTCTGGGATCTCTGGGCAGGTTAATCAGCCTGGCAGAGCTCTGGGAAGGATGCTGAGAGACAAAAGAAAATCCCCTCTTGGCACAGGGCACCCTGGGAATTGCTAGCAGGCTCCTGGGAACAGCTACCCTTTTCTTTCCCTTCATATGGAAAAAAAGTTTTTATGGGGCCTTGGCTGCTCGAGCAGCAGAGAGAAACCGGCCCTGGGCTCATGCTCCAACCCTGGAATTTCCCTCCAGCTCCACTCCGGGCTCTTAGCAATCCTTACAGACAGGAGGCAAAACTGAGCTATGCATAGAAAAGAAAGAAAAAACCTGGAGAGAGGGATGTGTAATCTGTCTGGAAAAGGCACTGTGGCTGGCTCAGGGCCTGGTGCCTCCGAGACAGCCAGCACAGGCCCCAGACAGGGGCTGAAAGCACCCGGAGCTGCTCTGCCAGGGACAGAGCCATCACTCCAGCCTGACACGGCCCAGAAGCTTCTGGGAGGGAAAAAAATATTTATCAGTCCCTGTCTGGTGCCAGGATTGTGGAGGAAAAATAAGGGGTGGGAAAGGAGGGAGCATCCACACTCAGAGCTGGGGTAAAACCAGATCCAAACTGGAGGTGTTCATCATCCTGGTGGCACTGGGAGTCTCCTTCATTCAGCCCTGACTTTCATTTTAGCTGTGAATTTTTAAGCTGGAGGGAGAGGATTTGGGATAAAAGGTGTTTAGGGTGCAGTGCTAAGAAAAGCCCCAAATTTCTGACAAACACAGAGGCAAAGTGCATTGAGATAATCCACACATCCTTCTGCTAAAGCTGGTCCTGGCAGATTGTGGAGTCACCCGTGCAGGACTCATGGTGGGTATGGAAAGGTGATGGTGGTGGGTCCCTACCTTGGGTCTTCAGAGAATCAACACAAAATCAAGCATCACAAAATCACAGAATGGTTTGGGTCGGAAAAGACCTTAAAAATGATCTCATTCCAACCCCCTGCCATGGGCAGGGACACCTTCCACCATCCCAGGCTTCTCCAAGCCTCATCCAACCTGGCCTTGAACACTTCCAGGGATGGGACAGCCACAGCTTCTCTGGGAAACCTGTGCTGATCTCCCCACTCTCAGAGCGAAGAATTTCTTCCCAATATCCCATCTAACCCTGCCCTCTGGCAATCTGAAGCCATTCCCACTTGTCCTAGCACTCCACCCCTTGTCCTAAGTCCCTCTCCAGCACTTTTCAGGCACTGGAAGGGACTCTGAGGTCTCCCTGGAGCTTTCTCTTCCCCAGGCTGGACAATCCCAATTCTCTCAGCCTTTCCTCACCGCATAGCTGCTCCATCCCTCTGATCATCCTGGTGCTCCACGTCCTTCCTGTGCTTGGGAACTGGACAAAAGGTTCCAGGTAGGGTCTGACCAGAGCAGATTTGAGGGGCAGAATCCCCTCCCTCACCCTCCA